CTTCTGCTTAGGGTCCCACCAGGCTGAAAGCAAGGTGTCATTCGGGGTTATGATTTCATCTGAAGCTCTGGGTCCTCTCCCAGGCTCACTGGTTGTTGGCAGAGTTCATATCCTTGTGATCGCAGAACTAAGATCCCATTTTCCTGCCAGCTATGGGCTGGGAAAGACTCTTGTCCTGGAGGCCACTCTCAAGTCCTTGCCATGTGATCCCCTCCACAGACAGTTAGCAACATGGCTGTTTGCTTCTTCAAGGTCAGAAGGGGAATCTCCCTTACACTTCAAATCTATTCCTTTGGGAAGGACTCAGTCCCTCTAAAGAGCTATTAGGTAAGAACCAACCAAGATATCCTTGAACATCAACTCAGTAACCTAATCACAGGCATGACATCCACCATATCTTCACATCCTGCTCACACTCAGGTGGGGAGTACACAGGGCCATCTTAGGATCTGCGTACCACAGGGGACAAAGGTAGAAGCTGACAGTTCTGTTAGGAGGCTGTCATCAGAATCCAGGCAAGGGCAGATGGTGGCTTAAACACTGATTATAACAGTAGAGAGGATGAGAAGGTTTCAGAGTCTAGAGGTGTTTGGAGAGTAGAGTCCATTGGTTTCCTGTCAGGTTGACTGTTAGGTATGAAGGAAAAGAGAGGAGGCAAGGATGATGCCAAGCGTTTTAACCTGAGCTGAAGGTGGGAGGGAGTTGCCATCTGCTGGTGATAAAATCACCATCCAAGGGAGTCATGCCACTCTATGCCACATGCATGGTGTAAACCCCTAAGAAGCCAAAGGGAAAGTAAAGGTCAAGGAAGGCTTGCGGGGGGGTGGGGGGGATGGGGATGCATTTTAAACAGGTCTGGAAATTACTGTGGTATTAGATAGGTGACGGGGAAGAGGGTGTTCCACAGGGAGTGGAGGAGGGCAGAGGGATGGGGAGGGGCAGGGAGGCACTAGCGGCATTCTGAGGGGCACGAGTAGAGCAGCGGGCTAGAAGGGAGGGTCGTGTGAATGAGCAGTATGGGAAGGTAGGCAGGGGCGAGCCTTGGAGGAAGTTCAGCCTCAAGGTAAGGCCATGATCCTACACAATAAAGAAATGTAGTTTGAGAGAAGGATATTCACAAGGGATGACTTAACGACCCCCGGCAGATGTTTACCGTGGAGCCACTGTATGAGTTTGCCACAGACTGGGGGCTTCAACAACCCAAATGGATTTCCTCACAGTTCAAGACCCTAGAAGTCCAAGATCAAGCTTATGAGCAGGCCTGGCTTCTTCTGAGGACTCTCTCCTCAGCTTGTAGATGGCGTCTTCTTCCTGTGTCTCCAGTCTTCCCTCCCTGTGAGTCAGGGTCTTTATCTCCACTGCTTCTAAGGACACCAGTCACACTGGATTAGGACCCACCCTGATGGCCTCGTTTTATCTGAATCATCTCTCTCAGACCCACCTGGTCTCCAAATACAGTCACCTTCTGAGGCGTTGGGGGTTAAAACTTCAACATACGGATTCTGAGGGGACACGATTCAGCCCACAACACCTACTATGTTTATGTAATTGTGTTCGGCATTCTAGACACTGGAGAACCAACTGCCCTTCCTTGTCTTGCCTTTCCTTGGCTGGAAGCACATATCCAGGAGGCCAGGGCTGGTGGGACAGGCTGTGCCAAGTTCACTGATGTTCACGGCAATCACTCTCTCTTCATCACTGAAAGCCACTGTGTTTGGCAAGAGCCGGTACGAAGTTCATGGAGAGCCCAAATGAACCGACGAGTCACGTGTTTGGTGAGCAAAAAAAAAAAAAAACCCAAAAAACAAAAAACAAGAGTGACCCTTTTGGGCGCCTGGGTGGCTCAGTTGGTTAAGCGACTGCCTTCGGCTCAGGTCATGATCCTGGAGTCCCGGGATCGAGTCCCGCATCGGGCTCCCTGCTTGGCAGGGAGTCTGCTTCTCCCTCTGACCCTCCTCCCTCTCGTGCTCTCTGTCTCTCATTCTCTCTCTCTCTCAAATAAATAAATAAAATCTTAAAAAAAAAAAAAAGAGTGACCCTTTTGGGATTTTCAATCCTCTGCCTAACTCCCCAAAGCCACAGACCAACGTTCAAAAGGCAGGGGCCAGCAGAAACTGAGTCCTGCTCTCTTGATTACAAAAACCAACTAAATGGCTTTGTGCTTCAGTATTTTATATCTGTAATGTGAGTCCACATCGAGTGGGAGCACAAATAAAAATAAAAAATAGCCATTTTAGAAGTCAGATTCTGCTTACTCTGCAAGCTAATCACCAGAGCTGCCATTTTCCTAGTAATCACAAAACCAGATTTCAGTTATATATTTTTCTAAACACAATTGTCTTCATTTGAGCTTCTCAGAGAGAGTGTGCCCCTTCTGGGTTTTCACTCAACTTAGCAAGGGCAGCCAGCCGCATGCCCCTTACCGATGTTTACCCAATATTCCAGCACCACATTTATGAGGCTGAAGTGGCTCCAATGTATTCCAGGGTGCATATACTTAGCAGAAAAGTTCAGAAGCTGGCAACTCACATTTGCCCAAATTGATTCCACATCTGCCTTAAGTGAACCACTCTGATACAAGCACACTTGTTTGTTGTTTTTTTATCTCCCCTCACAAGTCAGTGTATGTGATTAGAGGTTGAAAATAAAGGGGTTGTTTTAGAAAAGAAACAAAACAAATTAAAGGTCAGCCTGGCGTTCAGAATACTGCTGCCGGTTACTGTTCCTTTTTTGAAGGAAACTGAGTTAACTTTGCTAAGTTATAAGACATTTCAACCCTAGCTCATTTGCTCACACTGCACAATCCTTTAGTGTGAAAATCTTGTTACAGTAAAAGTCTCAACCAACAGAAAAATCAGGAAACCTCATCTATCCAGAACCATGCAGAAACAAAAAGTGAATACCAAAAAAACCCTCGGGGCAGCCAAAATGTCACAAAGCCCTTGCAATTCATCCATACCAGAGCCTCCAAATCCACATTAAAAGCTTTTACTTTCATTTGATGCCATTTTCCAAAATTCTGGCTAACTGCTTTCCAATCTCACTGCGGCCTAGAAGCAACAAATCCGAGATGAAGCCGGAGCCTGCTCCTTACAGCTGCGAGGCAGGGCAGAGATAAGAAACACAGAAAGCCAGAAAGCTCACAAGCACAGCAGGTACATGCCTGACCCACCCCAGCAGCCCCTCAGGCACATCTGTACAATAACAATAAGTCCAAGTCATAAAGAGAGGCTGAACTGTGTTGAACAGCCTTTATACAAGGTGGAAATGACATGTGAAACACATTTCGGAAAAGTAATTAAAACAAAATTGAGGGGCGCAGGGAAGTTAAGCATCGGACTCTTGTTTTCGACTCAGGTCACGATCTCAGGGTCATGAGACAGAGCCCCGCAACAGGCTGCATGCTGAGTGTGGAGCCTGCTTAAGATTCTTCCTCTCCCTCCCTCTCCCTCTGCTCCTCCCTCTCTCTCTCTCTCAAAAACAAAAAAAAACCCCAAAAAACAAAAAAACCCATAACTCTTTAAAATATAAAACTGAGATGCCCTAGTCAAAACTCTTTTGGTTGCATTTGACAAAAACCCAATTTAAAATGGTGCAAAAAGGGAACTTACTAATAACAGTATTTATTAATTCAGACATATCCTTGCTTCAGACACAAATGGATCCAGGAGGTAGAAACAACAGCATCAGGACCTGGCTTCTATCTCCCGTTGTTTCCTCCTCCAATGGTGTTAGTCTCAGACCAGCTCCAACCCCATGGTGGCAAGATGGCTGCCAACACCTCTAAATCTGGTGAAAAAGACACCTTCCTCTAGTCTGACCACACAAGCCAACAAGCAAGATTAACTCCAGCTAGACCTGATGAGCCCGGTTTGGGTCACATGCCCAGCCCAGATCCAATCCCAGGGGCCAGGAGTTTGCCCAACCTTCTGATTGGCCAAACGTGGACCGCGAGCCTACTACTCCTGGAGTGCGGGGTAAAGTCAGCTTCACCCAAAGCAGGGAGATAGAATGGGTGGAATGAGCCAACGGGGAGTAGGGGTGCGGGGTGGGGTGAAGTGTTCCCGTGAGAGAGAGTGAGGTGCTGGGTAAAGGGAGCAGTTAATGTCTACCAGGGGAGGTAAAACCTGTTAACTGTCTAGGAGATCCAGCGCGCCTCTTCCTTGAGGCTCTGGGTGTAATACTTTTTACATTCACACATGATTGTGAACTAGGACTTTCGTATTTGGAAAAATGACCGCAACGATATAAACTGATTGTGACTCTAGAGTTTTCAATTACACCACTGAACTCCCTTTTGCACCATTTCAGTTTGGTTTTTCTGTCACTTGCAACCAAAAGGGTCTGGACAAAGCATCCCCCCCACCTTTTTTTTTTGCATTTTATTTTAATTATGTATGGTCACACAGAGAACCCCAGGAAGAGGAGAGGGCCGCAGAGTGTTCCCCAACTGTCGTGAGGAGTAGCGACCCCTCCTTTTTCCCCAGGGTGTTCAGAGGATCAGGGTTTGGGAAACACTACTTAGCGGAGGAGCGAAAGGCACCCTGCTGCTTCCCATCAGCTGGGAGAGCCTCAGGGAGGGTAAGCTAGCTGCCACTGTCCCGGAAGCCCTTCTCCAGGGAAGCTGGCAGCCAAGTTCCTGCCCCTCTTCAGGCGCATATTCGGTGGGATGCCCGGGCGGGCTCCCCAGGGGCTCCCGCACCATCTCACACACAGGCGTAGCCAGTGAGCTGTGCATTTCCCTACCGACAGGCAGAATCAACTGCAGAAGGCCTCAGGCACCGAGCAGGAGAGGTCTGGGAGAGTGAACTCCCCTGTCCACGGTGTCCCGCCAGGGGCTAAGACCAGGGTGTTCTCATCGGTTCTCTGCATCAGAACAGAGAAGCCTCAGGCGGGCAAGGAGCTCTCAGCTTGCTGAGCACATCGGACTTCCCCACCATGGACTGGTGTGGACCTGAGAACATCAGATTTACCCTCCAGCTCAGTGCTTTTCAACCTACCCGGGGCGAAGCTCAGCTTCTGTTTCTGAGTACCAATCCATCGCGGACCTGTAAAATACAGTAAGATTACTTTCATCAGAAATTTTTAAAAAGCAAAAAATACAAAATGCAAGCCCATTATTTTCAATCAGATTCAAAAGATAAAAACTCGTCTGTCACACTGCCATTAACCTTTCTAAGTGCTTATTCTTTGTATCTGTACTTAGCTCCCGTGGACAGGGAACAGGGTTGCCCTGCTCCGACCACCAGGGTGATCAGCCCTGCTCTGGGGCGAGCACGCTGGCTTTAACGTTTTCAGACCACTTCCTGCTTCTAATGCTTCATGTTTATCAATTAAGTAGAACTTACCAGCTTGACATTCCAGGTGTCCCCACACATGGTCCGAATCTGCCATTCCCTTCATCTGGTCCTCCCTCATTCTTTCAACTGATCACTCAGTCCATCCAAACCCTAATGAGCACCTGCTCTGGGCCAAGCCCAGGCCGGTGGCACACCGGGCAGGCAAAGCCCACGGTTCAGTTGTCTCCCCACACACACCTGCACCCGGGCCCAGCCAGCTCTCAAAGACGGGCTTAGTTTTGCTGAGTCCACACCTCTGTCACTCACTGCGTGTCTGAATCCCAGGCGTTTTTCATAGCTCTGTTGGAATGTCAGCTGCCCAGCCAGTGATAACAGCTCTCATTAATCTGGCCTCTGCTGGCCCAGGAATTTGCTGGGCACTTTATACACACTTTATATACTGAACAGCAGGGTTCTCTGCCAAGTTTCCTGATTCCACTTCTTATTCTTCTAAATCAAATTCAACTTCTTTTCCTTCTAGAGCCCATCTCTGCAACTTTTTTTAAAAAAACCTTAAGTATGACGTACATTTAGAAAAGAATGTGAATTTATACAGCTCAGGGAAGTAGCCCAAAACTCAATACACCTATGGAACCTGCACCCAGATAAAAAAAATCGAACCTATCAGCACCGTGAAGACGGCCCGTACCACTTCCTGGTTACTAACCCTCCCCCTTCCCAAGAGCAGCCACCGTCCTGACTTCTAACTGAATGGCTTAATTTACCATTTTTATTCATCTAAATGGAATCTAAAAGTACTATTGCAACTGGCTTCGTTTATTCAGCATTATTTGTGGGATTCATTGTAGCGTTCATTCTAATTGCTGTATCGTATCCCATCATGTGAATATCTCACAGCTTATTTATCCATCGTACTGTGGACGGACATTTGGCTGCTGTGAACATTCTGGTACATGGCTATTGGTCAATCTACAAGAGCATTTCTGCTGCATCGGGAAGAGAACTACAGGGACACAGGGTTTGTGTATGTCCAGTGTCGGAAGACACTCTGAACATCTTTAAAGGCACTTTTCATGTTCCAATCTTATTTGTGAATTCACTTCATTTCCCTTACTAGATTATACCTGGTTCTTAACCGAATAAATACTGTTGGTGCCCTGCCTCATTGTAACATGAGGGGTCTAACATGTGACACAACATAGAAAACTGGAGTAAGAAAACAAAGTCCGGGGGAAGAAAGGATAAAGTGAATGCAATGGCCCCAATCAACCCCACAAGGGCTTAGGTACTTTGTAAAAAGCTGGACCACAAACATGGCTGAGCTTCCTGTTGGCCAGTACAAAGAGGGAAGCAAGTTACACACATGAGACTCACAGGATAAACACTGCTGGGCGGTGAAGCCATTTCTGGTTCTGAGAAGTAAAACCTGTCAGCCCGAGCCTTCCTAAAGAGCGTATTGTTCGACATTGAAAATGAAGGATCCAACAACTTCATTTTAGTAATAGCAATAAAAAATCCTGTCAGGATCTCCCTCCCCTGGTCATCTCCTTTAATGTGGACATGACGGAACACAGTTCACTACAAGCGACTGTTGGAACTGATGCAACCAGATACACAATTCTCAAGAGATCTGACTGAACCCAAGAAAAACAACTAGACTCAGAGTGTGGTCTAGGGACCTTTCAGGGTCTCTGAGAACTTTTCAGGTCTACATGATCAAAACTATTTTTATAATACCACTAAACTTTTTTTTTTTAGTTTCAGAGGTAGAATTCAGTGATTCATCAGTTGCATACAGCACCCAGTGCTCATTACATCACGTGCCCTCCTTAACGCTCATCACCCAGTTACCCCATCCCCCCACCCACCTCCCCTCCAGCAACCCTGTTTGTTCCCTGTAGTTAAGAGTCTCTTATGGTTTGTCTCCCTTTTTTCATCTTGTTTTTTCTCTCCTTCCCCTATGTTCATCTGTTTTCTTAAATTCCACATGAGTGAAATCATACGGTATTTGTGTTTCTCTGACTTATTTCACTTAGCATAATGCCTTTTATTTCCATCCATGTTGTCGTAAGTGGCAAGATTTCATTCTTTTTGATGGCTGAGTAATATTCTAGTGTGTGTATACACACACACACACACACACACACACACACATACATCTTTATCCATTCATCTGTCGATGGACATCTGGGCTCTTTGCATATTTTAGCTATTGTGGACATTGCTGCTATAAACACTGGGGTGCATGTGCCCCTTCAAATCACTATGTTTGTATCCTTTGGATAAATACCTAGTAGTGCAGTTGCTGAGTCATAGTGGTTCTATTTTTAACTTTTTGAGGAAACTCCATACTGTTTTCCAGAGTGGCTGCACCAGTTTGCATTCCCACCAACAGTGTAGGAGGGTTCCCCTTGCCCTTTTTTTTTTTTTAAAGATTTATTTATTCATTTGAGAGAGATGGGGAGGGGCAGAGAGAGAGAGAGAATCCCCAACCAGACTCCCTGCTGAGCGCAGAGCCAGATGCCAGGGCTCCATCCCAGGACCGTGAGATCATGACCTGAGCCGAAACCAAGAGCTGGTCACTTAACCGACTGCACCACCCAAGCACCTCAGCTTTTTTGCCTTTTTTCCTCTCATCTTCTTATGAGTGTGCACAGAGGAATTTTCCAGAGGCCATGACATGTGATACAGCAACAGACTGAATGCAGAAACAAGATATTAGAATCTAGCTGTGAAGAGAATCTATTATGCCAGACATTAAAGAAATTTGCAAATTATTTTTGATCTTGGAAAACAAATTTTTCACACAAAAACATGTCATATTACTCTACATGGGTTTGTTATTGATCTTAAGTAAATTAATAAACATTTTAAAATTTTGTTTTAATTTCTAATATAGTACCTACAGGTAGAACCCACTTTGGGGTCCTCAAAAAATTTTAGGAGTGGTAAAGGGTCCTGAGATCAAAAGTTGGGGAACCACTGATGGAGAGAAAGATTTCCCGAAAAGGATGTTGTTGGTCACTAGCCCAGAAGATAACCCACGAAAAATATTTTGTGATCAAATACATTTGAGAAATGGTAAGCCTCTCTTGGAAATCATCGAATTAGAAGCAAATAAGCCAAGTTTGCTTTAACTCTGTGTTTCCTAACTGTATCTGACCAAGATCCCCTCTTCTGAGGGCTTCCGTTATCATCCTGGAAGCACACCTGGGCACCTCATGGATGAACTCCAAGGCCTTCAGTCAGTCCCCAAGAGGAGCATCTCTTACAACCCGCTTTTGTCAAGCGTGGGCAGCAGAATCTGATGTCACACCTCTGACAGCATGAAGACTGATCCTTTTATAAATATCAAGGCAGCTGAGCAGGACAGAGAGTTCCTTTATCTCTACAAAGAGGTGTACCAAGGGCAGGGTCAAAGCCAGGACAAAGATCCCACTGAAGAGAGAAAACGGAGTCTGTTCCATCTGCCGAACAGGCAATCGAGGTCCCAGAGGTCTTGACGACATCTTCCAGAGCAGATGGTACACACGTTTGCCCCCGTCATAAAGAAATCTCAATAAAGTGCCCACAGAATGCCAGACTTTAAGTTACACAACTTCCTGGTGCCCCCTCCAAGGAAAATAGAGGCCAGATATACCCTGAATGAGTCAACTTCTTTTATTGGGTTACTAACCATAAGTCAATTAAATGTTAGGAAATGTCTACCAAAAAGTGATGCCTTTGGTTCTGGAACCATCAGTCTGAGTTCTTTTTGACAGTAATTACATAACTGTGTCAGTTGTCTGTTAAGCAAATTCCCAGTTCACAATAATAAAATTATGTTATCAGGCAGCTCATCTAAAGAGAACCCATAGTAATATGCAAGGCACTCTGGGAAATCTAAAAATGAGAAAGAGGTGTCTCTTCAAAAACATACAGTCTAGTAAGGGGCCAGACAGAGCACCAGAGAAAGAAAGAATTTCCACACTCGTCTCTGCAGCAGCTGGTGAGGTAGCTGGTATTGCAACCAATAAATATCTGTCTCAACAAATCTGCTATTTACCTTTAAAATGTTTACTTGTACACAAACTGAGAAACACCACATAGTAGACTATCTCATCAAATATAATCTAGTCAAATACTGCTTCTTAGTGTGACTTAATGAGTTTATATAGGATTTCAAAAAAACCTACACCATAGTGAATTAAAAATAGATCATTTTAATATACATATTTTCACTTCTGTTAATTCAACGCTGATTTCTATTATGCATGCATAGCCACTTGGTTGAACTTGCTTCCTATTTACTTATTTTCCAACATGCAGCAACCTTCGACAAGATGGCTAAGCTGAACTGGTTATTCTTAAAGAGTACAATGTACCCTGTCCTCAAAGTTTTATCAACTTTAATGTTTCCAAAGAGCCTGATGAGGCTGCTCAGCACGCTGGCTTTTCACTGAAATTTCCTATTTGGAGGATGGCAAGACAGACTAGGATCTTCCCAAGTCTCCTGGCTGCATGCATTCACATCACAGCTTGGTTGGGAAAGCAGTAGGGACTGAATAATAAGTAGATCTCCTCCAAACACAGCTGGGTGAGAGAGCTTCATTTTTAGAAAGTAAAGCGAATCATGAAAACCTCCCTAATGGTGTGATTTGCTCCAGGGTTCTTTTGATACTTAAGAAGGGAAATATTAATCCTTGTGCACAGTACTCTTATTTTCAGCTTTATAGAGTTTTCTTCTCCAGCCATCCTTCTGTAGTGAGGCAATTTATTGTACTTGCACGAAGATGTCTTTCATAATCGAGGTGGTGATAGCCTTCTCATTTCCTGCCAAATGGATCAGACCACACTTTTAACCCTATAGAAAGAAACATGAATCAAAACAGGATTCGCTTTTAAACTTCCTACCACTTCCCTCAACTGCAAACAAGCAAAATGCCAGCAGAATTGAGTTGTGCAATTGCCATGTAGTTCGAGACAGTGCAGGCAAGCAGGCAAGCTGCCGGAAGTCTGGGATGCTGCGGCTGGGCAGCCATGGCCACCATGAGAGACTTAAATGGCTCAGAAATTGCCCCACAACAGGAAGCTATGTATCTGGCCTAGTCAAAACATAAAGAAAAAAGTAAATAAGTTAAAAATTAAAAAAAGAATGGTGCCACAGATTACGAGAGTTTTGGTTAAAAAACTGGAAACCTCTCCTTCTCACCCAACTGAGATCATCTAAAAGTAACTAACCATTCAGCCACAAAGGGAACTTTGAGCTTCTGTAATAAAGCAGAATCGCGCATCAATTCAAATAGCTCGCAAGTAAACAGACTTCTTCCAGAGAGGGCAGGGTTTAAATAGGTGCTTGGTAAATCGGTCTGCAGAACAGCTATTCACCCTTGATACTCAATAGCACACTTGTTACATTTTTATGCCCATTTATCAAATGCACAAGAGGAACGTGCAAACTTGCCCAAAATATTCTGGGGTGAAATGCTAAAATGAAGTCTTGGGGTGGCTCCTATGAAATGGCAACTTCTGAACGATGAATGGCATAATCACCAGCTAGCCTCCGCACTCAAAAGATTTCCTCCACTGCAGGGCAAGCACGCGCACCCCACACAACAGCACGAATGCAATTCTGTTTTGAATTTTAAGTTTACCTGGTGGCTGCACATCTTCTTGAATAATACCAGCTCTATTTACGGCTTGCTCCTTCTCTGAAAAACACAACAGAAAAATTGCTCTTTACAAAGGTGGGGGGTGGACCATGGTGGAAGAAATCTTTCTATTTACGTGGGCCAATGACATGGGACAATTCAGAAACAATATATACAGGACGCCGATACTCAAAGCTTTTAGGTTATGGAAGTTAGATCCTACAGAGCAGAAAGATTGGGCATTTTCAATAAAAGCAAAGAAAGCCGTACTTCAAAAGAAAAGCTCCCGACTCACATCTTTTCTCGGTGATCTCAGCATTTTGGTAAGGCAACAAAACAACGGAAAAAGAACAATTTTGAAAGAGCTGGTGGGCGTGATATATTATGAGGGGAAGGCTGCTGAATTGAAGGAACAAGTACAATTAACAAGAAAACGATGTAGTTTCTATGTCTCAAATGTGCTCCGCTGAAGGACTAAACCCAGAGCTAAATATGCTATGTTTTTGATAGGAAATAGAGCAGAAAATTAATCTTGGGGTGGGTGGCTTTGGTTTGGATAATTGAAGCTTCCCTAATTGACTGCAGGTGCTGTGCCAATTAGTAAGCGCGTTCCAGCTACAGCAGCTCAGCCCATCTCTTTGGAGATGTCCAACAGGCAAGGGCCAAGAGAAATTGGGCATTTTATGTCTGTGGGCTTCAAGTGTTCTGACACATCTTTCTAAGTGGTTTAGAGTATGCCCAAGGTCTGCGAAAACAAAGACTTATTATTTTAAGTATCTTGACAAACAAATGGCGGCTTTTCAGGGGAAAGACTTGGAGCCAAAGGATGTTTACTACTAAATTATAGTAATTAAATGTTGTAATCAGACCTTTGTCTTAATCAGGCTGACAGTATTTCTTGAAATCCACATTTAGCTCTTATTTAATATTAGGCCGTTTCCTTTATTCTGGCTTCTGGATTCTCATAAAGTTACAAGAAGCATAAAGGTACAAAAAACAGGGATTTGCCAAATCGAATATTCATTGAACTTGTTTCTCCCGTGATGTGACAGAAAGTCAATCCTAAGTGACCTACCTATAGTTTTATCAATGCTAAGTTTTGCTTTGGCAAATAAAACA